GGGTTCGAACACTTATAGACAATTGAATCTGAATAACAGAATTGACCTAATTTCATCTCCTATCAAGGTGAATAATTTGCTTCTGTAATTGTATTGAGACAAACAGGATACAGAAAAGCGTAAAATAAATCAGAGAATTTTTTGATCAACAGATAAACATAGATAATGTAAAAAAAGTATCGGACATCGCTGTCATTGATTACAAAAGCTTTGTCAAGTCTAGCATGGGATATATCTATACGTAGGGCTTTATCTTTAATGTACCAATTAAAAAACTTGTTGTTTGTGAATGTACGAACGCATTTGACATATGTGACTCGATGATAGCTCATTCACCAATGTCCGTGGCCTGTGAATTCATAAATGAAGACATATTAAATGATTTGAAAACTGCATTCAACGATCAGGTTAGACTTTATTCTATGTGTTTATTTGTTTCTCGAATTCAATATTGCCAATGAAATACCATAAGGATTGCAGTACGATTTATTTTTACAATTTAGTTTTGAATCCTTAAATGATGTCAAAAAATTTCGAACTCTTTCAACTGATGGCATGTAAAAAATCGTAAGCAAGCCATTAGTGCTTGCAATCCAAAAATGCTTACAATCCGGAATGGATTGACTGTAATAGTTCTATTTTGTTTCTTTGGTAAAGACTTAGCGTATTTTTCAATAGCTCTCGTTTTGGTATCTTAAATGTGTGTATCTTTCTTTTTATTATACTATACATTTTTTTATTGCGTAATGAAAGGAAAGATTTGGTGATTATATAATACGCATCTTTAATAATTAATTCGTATTTCCTGTCTCCAAAGTCAACGAGTGATCTCACGATAGTAATCGAAAAACAAACAATTTATGTTCACAAGGCTATTCTGAAGATTCGTTCTATATATTTTGAAAATATGTTTCGCGCTAATTGCATTGAAAGCAAACAAAGGTACATATTTATAAAAAAAAGTGTATATTTTTTAAAGAACCTTTGTTATTTGATTATCATTGTAATATTTCTACATATTTTTCAGCATTATCGAGATTCATTATTACAGATACGTTGTTTACAAAACATTTTTAGAATATTTATATACCGGTAGAATCAATCTGTCATCTTTTGAGGACCTGTTAGGTGAGTTTGAGTTAAACGTACCGCATATTACATCTGCAATTTGCGATTAAATATCTCGTCGTTGCAGATCTTTTGCAACTGGCAGATGAAGTCTGCCTGAAAAATCTCCAGATAAATTGTACAGGAACAATAAAAAAAACAATTACTGTATCAAATGTCATACACTTTTTTAATCTTATCAATAAAATGGCGGAACATTACAAGGAGGTAACTAATAGAATTTTTTTTTCTATTATGGATTTTTTTCTTTTCTGAGACAAAAGAAAGTATTGCAGAATTTATAATACATATAACATATAATAAATATGAGATTTATGTATTAATCCAATTGGGTTTGTTTTCCATTTTTCTTTCTGTCTCAGCAAAATATTCTTCCCTTTAAAATTTCTATACGCGAATCTTTTACTTCACACGAATATCACTTTTTAACGCAGAATTCATTAGCTCTAAAAATGTATCTTTGTATTAAATGTAATTCATTTATATATGTAGTATTTATTCTTTAGGAATTGATGAATTATTGCTTCAACTTCTATTTTAAAAACATGACGAAAGTAATACGGACAGAAGATTTTCAACAATTGGATGCCGCAACAACGGCTATGTTTATAGATAAAGGGAGAGATTTTTATTTATCAAGAATTAATAGATCTGATTTAAAATAATATATTTCTTGCTTTAGAGAGGAGAAGCATAGAAGGATATTATTTTGTGAAAACGATTTATTATTTTCGTTGAAACAATTATTACACGTATTATTCGATTTATAAAAAATGACTAATAATTGTAAATAAATTATAAATACAAAAGGAAAAAAAATCAATTTAGTATTGTGATTAAATTATTTTAAATAAATTATATTTAAATATTGTTGACGTAAATGAAAAATAAATAATGAGTAGTGATTATTGAAAACACAAAATATACAATTGTTGTATGGATTTTAGATTTAAGAATCAATTGAGTATTCCTTCACGTAAAATACTAAGAAAATTTTCATCGAAGAATCAGTTAAGTACTCGAGCAATCCATCGATAATATACGAAATATATACATATATCTATACATACACTCATCAACAAAATTATCGCATAGGTAAATTTGTATTAAAATTTCGAATAAATTCAAATAAGGGTAACTCCGCGAAAAATGATCTCATTTAAAAGTTTCCTTTTTCATTTTCAAGATTAAAGTTTCATTTCAAAGATTAAAGTCCGCACTTTACGAAGTTTCCAATGAATTTTGAATTTATCCTTACCTCTGTGATTAAAGGTATTTTCTTTTAAGAAATTTGCATAGCGCTTGTCTCATTCTATGCTACTGAGTGGAGTATATTTTTTTCGTAATGATAATCATGGTAAAGTCTGGACTTTTCTTTTACAAATTAAAAAAAAATTAATCTTTGTACGATTTTTTTTCGAAGAGATACAATGCATCAAACTTACCTATGCATTTTATTCAATTACCGCCAGTATTAGCATATATTACCCTATAGGCACCACGGAGAGATTGCTGTTCGGATTTTGCGAATCGTGTATTGTGTGTGTGTGTCTTTAAAATTGTGTACTTTCTCCTCATCTTCGGATGATTTCTTGTAAACGTGCATGCATATTGATTCGAGCTCTAATTGAAACTTGAAGAGTATGAGTTGTTTCTCATATTCGATGTAATGCTGCTTCCAGTGCACTAAATTTCCTCTTTGCCAAAATCGTATCATACTGAAAAGAATCCTCATTATAAATATAAAAATTATGAAAAATTACACGAGAAAAGGAAAAGAGTGCAGTTTATAGTGCTGTAAAAAATTTAACTTTATAATTTCTAAGTTATGAGTTAAGTAAAAAGTGGTGCAATTTTGGCAACCTTACCGTATGTATATATACAGGGTGGTCCATCTGAAATATCTCGCTTATTTATGATGATATAAAAAAATATTTCAAATGAAAGTAGAGTTGTAAAAATACCGTCAAATTCAATTTTATAATTATTTATGATAAAATTACGGCAAAATGGTAATTTATTGGTAATTTTGGCTATATTTTTTGTCTTTATAGTCTTATGTATTATACATATACGCTGTATTTCCGTATTTACGTATAGAATAAAACAACATTCTTTTAATATCCTTAATAGGAATCGCTGATAGAATAACAGGGCTATTGACTAAATCTAAACATATTATTTAATCGTAACAAAATATGTCTCTATGACACATAGATGACTCATCCTTAAGTGTGTGGCTACTTGTCGCGTTAGGTCGGCGACTGATAGTGTTGATCGCGGTATTATTGGATTATCTAAAAAGTATCCGCGGTTTTTTGTCACTAGATGTGTGTTGATGGTCATATATCTAGTGACAAAGTACCGCGGATACTTTTTAGATGACCCAATATAAACGTATATCAATTGTCCACATTACTAAGTGGCTAATTAAAAATAATATAATTTTATTGGTGAAGCAGTGAAAAATTATTAGGAACAGGCCGATGAGTGATGTGTGCAAGTGGGCCATTCTCGTGGTAAATCGTCCCTGATTTGGCATCCTTGCCTTAAACGTTGTCAATTGTCTAATTATTATATCAATATAAAGTATCAAAATGAAAATTTAATGTTAAACAAAGTGTTTTTAACTTAATGACTAAATGTTCTTAAATTATTGTACTTTATTTATCTATTTTTTAAAATTATTATTTCACCAGCTTCAAAAAATTACCAAATAATACAGCATAATTTACTGGGTAAGTTATTATCAAATTTGATCATTTTCATCTCGAAATGAAAGTGAAACCGTCATGAGGGGCATTTTGGTCACGTTATTTTTTTCTAGATGGAGACGCCAAAAAGATATGAAGGTCATCTCTACTTTTTAAAATGGAATTATATGACATTTTTTTTACACAATATGATTCCTTTAATTATAATTATTCCTCTAATTATAATTATAATTATTCTGCATATAAAAGTATCGAGGTAGTGATATTAAAAGATAATAAATCAATAGTTTACAAGATATTTTACACTTTATTCTGATACATATTAATATAAAATGTTAAATAATTCGTAAACTAGTAACTTTTTGATAATCATACCTTAATACTTTTATAAACAGAATAATGAAATGAAAGTTGGTGGAAAGAAATTTATTTAGCATTTTATGTCGATATGTGTCAGAATAAAGTGTAAAATATCTCGTAAATTGTTGGTTTTTCGACATCACTACCTTAATATATAGAATAATTAGAGGAATTGTGTAACAAAAATTATACAATTCCATTTGAAAAAGTAGAGATAACTTTTATATCTTTTTGGCGCCTCCTAGAAAAAAGATAATATGATCAAAATACGTCTCTCTCGAAAGTTCTACTTCCATTCGAAATTTTTTTTTATCTCCTCAAAAATAAGCGAGCATTTCAGATGATCGATTTAAATGGATCAGCTTGTGCATTTATATGCACAGCAACGTGTTGAAAAATTTAACAACACGAGCGCATCCTGTGTGGAGAGTTATTAATCTTAATTGGTGACAATGGGGAAGTTTCATTTGACCACGTAGCGATTAGAATCACTCACAACACTTAGAGCACTGATTTAATATTTTAAAGTTGGTATAGGTCATAAAAGCTAATTTCTAATATAAATAACTCGAATCATATTCTAACATCATGAACACAAACCCTAAGTAAATAATATTTACACTGGTCTCTCAATAACACAAAGGTAAATTTATATTAATTTTCAAGGAAAGAGTTCGTTTTTTTCCGATTTCAATTTGTTCAATTTCAGTACGCATCACTTGTGAAATAAGATATCGTTAAAAATATTTAACAAATATTTCTACAAATTATATTTAGTGTAACGTATCCATCGTTATCATGTCTATTTCGCTCAAATTTGACAAAAACTTTATGATAGAGAAACAGCAAAATATAGACTTAATCAATTTCAAACGTTGGTAAGTTTAAAGTTTCTTTTTCTTATTTTTTAAATATACATCGACGAATAATTTTGAAATAATAATAAACGGATATTAATGATCCAGAATTAGACTCATATTTTTGTACGTTGATTTAGCCAAAAGATTATCCGGCATATTACATGTGCCTTTATAATATAAATTCTTCTTTGTGCATATTTTTATGCGATAATGAAAATTTATGTGTAAAGACTCTTAGTCCGGAGAGAACGCGAAGATTGAAAGTAAGAAGTACAAGCAACATCCAAGATTGTAATTCGATTGTTCACGTAGGCATCGAGAACATGCAGACAATAAAAGCAATCCAACGTAATACCCAATAACATTCCTCGCGAAGTAAAAAAGTGATGTGATAATTATCATATTTAACTTAAATTTATTATACTTTTTGCATCTATGAGCATAGGTAAAGCGTATAAGATTTCTTGAGAAATTTTCCTTTCTTCTATTTTTTTAAATTTTATAATATCAAGAAAAGATAGCAGTTTGTCTTTGTAAAATGGCACACAGAATCGCGATCGTTAGTATCAATTACAAAAAGTGTATCATTATACGATCGAATCTTATGGTCATAGTACAAGAAAACATGATTAACAAAGCTTGAGCAAAAACCAAATCATAGTTGAAAAATTTCAAGAGGACTTAAAAAATTTTAGATTTTTTTTTGCTAATTTCTTACAGTTCTTACGTCCTTTCATACGCAATAGTTATCATTCTTTTCACATTTATTTTAGCTCAATCTGCAATGTTTTCAATAAACTAAAATTCCGACAACCATCACTTATTGTTCTTCACACAAAACGAGCTATATTAATTACTTTCCTAATTAATCATTTATTTGTATTTACAGCAATATATATTTAATAACAATTGTAATTATTTTTATCCAAGGCTTGCACTGCAATCGTGCATCGACTATAAGAACGTTAGTGGTTATATAGATACAGACCACCATCCGACACTAGTGGATATTATGTTCAAAAAAAAAATAAAGATGTTGATTGCCAATACTATTAATAAGGGCAGTGCTTCTTTGGTTACTCAAGACGTTGAGGTACATGAACAATTTATATATCGTAATAAAAATTGACATTTTATATTTTACTAGAATGAGTCTTCGCTGAATTTTTGTGACATTAAAAATTACATCATAGAGTAGTGTATAAAGTACAGAGTGAAAAGAAAATTATAATTTTTTATCTCTTAATAAATAAAATATATGGAAATGAAAAAAAATCAAATTGTTTTATAAGGTAAATTTTGCCTTTATAAAAATATTTTTATTAGAAAAAAATAGTAAAACTCATGACATGTATCATTAACTATGTACATATCCTTTATAAAAGCAATAATCATATAAAGGAAAAATGAGTATATTTTATATATTTACAACGTTAACATACATGCCAAATACATTTAATACGTTAATTTTTTATATGTTTATTATATCATGCTGTTTTTTGTCATGTGTATATAATAAGTGCATAATGTTTTACAATATGAAGTTATAAGAGGTTAAAATTTATTTTTCATATTTAATGTATTAAACAAGCTCATAGTATTGACAACAATTTTGTAAGTTTACTAAATGTATGATCAACTCTCTATTAATTTTTGGTTACTTTCCCTTATAGAAATTTAATACTAATACTGGTCGCAATTAATTATTTATTTTAAGTATTCTAAGTACTGTTAACAGCACATTTAATACTAAAAATAAGTGATTAATTGATCAGTTTTTGTATTAGATTTTTATAAGGGTTTACATTACATTAGATTATTTTATGATATTAATTGTATGTAACTAAATTCATTGAATCTAATCCATATAAAGAACGATGCACTGAAATTGAAATTTTTTTATATTTCAATTGTTTTTTATGAAACAAAAAAACGTTTCATATGAAAGTGGAAGAGTAATTAAAAGAAGAACGTACTTTTTGGTTACGTTAATTTTTCTTAGGTAGAAGCACCAAAGATTTAAAGAACTTTATTTTTTTTAACGAAATTATGATTTTTTAAATATAATATGATATAATATAATTGTTCTACATATTAAGGAAAACTTAAGTTTAGTCTTATGAAGTAAGAATAAGAAGACTTAACTAAGATAAATGTCCCAATTAATGACAACCGTGACTGTTTTTCTTAATAAATCAATTAATATAAATCAATGGGTGTTGTATGTTCATTCTAAAAAATGTGTTAAATTGTGTTAAATGTGTTCAAAATTGTATATGTTATTTATTACAACGAATTTTGAATAAAATTAAATGCTTTTGTAAACGCTAAAATATTATAATTGTAAGCATATTATCAATGACGACAACAAATTTAACAGATGCTCACTAACATCTTGTAAGGCTATGACTATGACGATCTTTTCGTCGAATGATTTTAACTATTATTAAACTAAAAGGAAATAAAAGTAAGCACCCAAAATTAAATAGATATTAAAAACATTGTGAATAATAACTGAAAATGTCATAAAAATACATACTTTAATTAATGCATGTTAATTAATGCATCATTAATCGGTACTCAAGTTTTGTTTATTTTTATTACTGACATTTTAAACAAATATCATATAAAATAATAAAAATGTTCCTATTATTAAATGAAATATGTAATTTATAAATATCAATTATTATTATATTAAGAAACAATATTAATATTGTAACTTACACTCTTACAGACTTTAAAAAATATACAAATATGAGTTCCTATCTATGAATTGTCTTGCATAAGTTAATAATAGGGACACTCATGATTTTGTATCAATTTGCGATAGCCGGTGCAGTCCCTAACCTAAAACGGCAGTATATTTTAATTAAATTGTTTAATTTCAACATTTTAATCAAATTAACAACATATTGAGTACAAATAGTGGCAATTTATAGATACGATTAAAAATAATTTAAATTAAATATAAGATTATTTAACTGGATGTCGGTAATAAGGACGTTCCTTTGTCTATACGACGTGTCAATATTAGGGATGTTATATGTTTACATCA